TGAGTGCCATGCTTCCTAACAATTTTCAGTGGGGCAAGTATTTAACATTTATCTGGCACATTTTCTTTATAATGTACTTTACAAATCCTTTATTAATCTTACCACATTTTTAGTAAAGTGATTGGAAACATATTAGAATGCTTATTATGGAGAAGATGAGCTGATACCAGAAAGGTTCAGGTGACTCTTGAGGTCCGAGCATCTCAAATACGTGAGAGGAAGAGTCTGTTTTGATGCGTCTGCACCATGCGGCGGCCTGCCGGGTCACCTCGGCAGTGAGTGACTGTGGGGCAGGGGTCACAGCACCACGTGGAGCCGCTCGTACCCTGACTTCTGTCTTCTTCCCGGAAGAGGTCAGTTAACTGCCAACTTCCTCCTTCATTTTTCACATGCACCAAGCCTGCCCAGTCAGCGCCTGTGGGACGCCGTACTGTCCATGTGAAGCCCAGCACCAGCCCAGCCCAATCAATTCTTTGCTGGCCTCCTCGCTCAGGTTTCTTGCTTCTCTTTGGCAGCCCTCTGCACTGAGTAATAATGGATTTCTTTACTTTATCCCACTTCTTTTTCACACCAAAGGAATGAACCTTACAATATTTATAGCAATATATAGATTCCTGTTAGTAAGATTTCCCTACTAATCGTAATGACTTCTATTTATCATTTGCTTTCGCTTCCTCCTACTTTGCAAGTTTGGATTTCGACTTCCTTTTCATTGGTGTTCTTTTCTTTTAATTCTGTGATATCTTCTAAGTTTGAAGTCATTTTTTGCATTCTACTTTTAAAAATTAAGAAATTTGTTCGTATACATTTATTAAATTTTTTCAGCTTTTTCATTGTAAATTATTGTTCAGTAAACTCTCCTCTGAACCATCCATTCACATCCAAACATATTTGGTTTTTCTCTCTTAAAATTCTCACTTTCTGCCTTCAGACAGGCCCTGCCTCTCCCTGCAGGTGGGTGGTGCTCCGTGCCCTGCCAGGGCTGTGCTGTTCTCGCTCAGGCTTCATCCTGCTGGCGTGGATTCCTCGAAGCCCATTGCCAGAAGTGCTACCTACTGCTAGTAGTGGTTTTTTAGTGACTCTTACAGAATTAGGACTTGTTTGTTTCATTAAATATGAATGTTAACACTGCCTTTTTTAAAAAAAAAAACTGTAATGAATACTATCTCTTCTCATTTTTATGCCCCAACTTTGTGATGTATTTTGTAAGTCTTCTGCCCCCTTGTGACAGGTTTCCTGTGTTGTCCAGCCTGCTTTCAAACTCAGGATCCTTTTGCCTCAGCCTCCAAATAGCTGAAATTATAGGCATGCACCAACATATCCAGCTACTACTTGTGTTTCAGTCCAAAAATTTCAGTTTTACTGTACAAATTTTGCTTTTATCTTCTTAATTTATTCCTGTTTTTACACTACTATAGATATAATTATTGTTTTAAACTCCCTTTCTTTGAATTGTCCATTTCTGTTGTAAAGAAACACAGTTTTTTTAGGTTGACGTTTTTATTCTGTAGCTTTGCTCTCAGTCCTTAGCTCTATTTTTGTCTGTAGATTGCTTAATATATTCAGTATACAACTTTATGCTGTATTTAAAGAGATTGTTTTAGTTCTTCTTTTTTAACTTGTATGCTATTTATTTCTTTTTGTTATGTAGTTATCCTGGCTACACCTGAAGTACAGCGCATACCCTTGGCTCATTTCTGACTTTTAGACGACACTTTTAGGGCTGGGGATGGAGTTCCGTAACACAAGTGTCTGCCTGACAAGCACAAGGCCCTAAATTCAATTTTTGGTACAAAAAAAAAAAAGAAAAAAAAAAATCCACAAAATAGGATGACACTTTTAGTCTTTTTGAAACTAAATCTGTGAATTTTGTTGCATTGTTCCATGAAAAATTTATTTTGTGCCTATTGAAATAATTATGTGTTTTTCCCTTTGTTTCATTTTTTATGCTATTACATTGAATTATTGATTGATTGATTGGTTGATGATTGATTGACTGGTTGATTTTTTGAGACAGGGTCTCACTATGTAGTCCAGGTTGGCCTTGAATTCACTACATAGCCCAGGCTGGCCTCAAATTTGTGACAGTCCTGGTGTGTCAACCTCGCAAGTGCTGAGATTACAGGTCTGAGCCACCACTTCCAGCTGTATTAATTGATTTTCTATGTTAAATCAATTTTTCAGTTCTAGTAAATTTTTTTATTTTATTTTACATATTTGGTACAAGGTCTCACTATGCTGCTCAGACTTGTAGTGATCCTCCTGTTTCAGCCTCCCCAGCACTGGGATTACAGACCTACACCACCACGCCCAGACTTAGTCTGGGGTAATTTCTGCTTGGTTCCTTTATATATTTTATTCCTACATTCGACTTCCTAATAATTTGCCACTTTAACATTCGTGTTGATAAACAGATGTTTAGATTTTGTTTGTTTCTTTCTTTGTTTTCTCTTACCCTGTGATATTGTCGTATCAGGCCAATACTGGCCTCTGGAAATGTGTTAGGAAATGTTCCTTCCTACTGAATTCATCAGGTTTTCAATGAGCCTTTGTTCTGTGGGCTTGCTCGTTTAATGGTCGCAATTGGGTCGGCTCCAGAGCCTCCCTCCCAGTTGGAGCCCGCGCTGGTGCGCCAGCTCTAGGCAGGCCTGTGTACTTCCGGCAGCCACGTCTCCGCCTCCAGCAGTAACCCTGTTAGCAACCACTGGGTTACCTCTCCAGAGGGCTTATTGTGCAAGAAACATGATTGCTGATGATAAGATTATCATAGAGGAGGGGCAGACAGCAAAGGTACATTCCTTATTTTGTTGTTTTCTGTTCAGATTTTGTATTTAAGTCAGTTAACCACATCCTTTACATTTTCAGCCTTCTTGGCATAAAATTTTTCACTGTATCCCACTGCAGTCTTTTATTTATTTAAACTCCACATGAGAGCCCCATTCTAGCTCCTGATGAAGTCTTCTCTTCTACTTAGTTTAGCTAGGTAATAGTTTATCAATTTGTTAATCTTGTATACAAACCAAATGTTGATTTTATTATTTTGTTTTTGGTTTACTATTTCATTTATTTCTGCTATAAGTTTTGTTGTTTTTTCAATTAAGTATATTTGGTTTACTTTCTATCTTTAAAGAGGACAAGTTCGCTTATTATATAGTTTTTTATTTTTAAATATAAACCTTTAGGGCCCAGGGAGATAGCACAGTAGAATAAGCACTTGCTTGGCAAGCATAGGGTCCTGAGTTCAATGCCCGGTACTGCAATAAATAAATAAAATTAATTAAAATAAAATAAACATTTAAAAAATTCCCTGTAATTATTGCTATAGATGTCCCCTGCATGTTTTGATTTTTTTTTTTTCATTTTCATTTACCTCAGGGTATTCTGTAATTTTCCTTGTGATTTGTTTTGTTCTAATGGTTGTTTTAATTATGTTCACTTATATCTACATATTTCTGAATTTCTAATTCGTACTCTATTGTCAGGCTGTATTGCTTTAAATAATTTCAATCCTTTGAAATTATTGGGGTTTATAAATTACTTAGCTTATATTCTGTCCTTAGAAGTAATCTGTGTGCATTTGAATGCATGAGTCCTTGTTTGAAAGATATATTTTATTGATCTCTCTGTTGAATCTTAAGTTTTCTATTTTCACTATTACAAAAAGGATCTTCCCAGAACAAAATGTGTGCAAGGACTGAAAGCTTCGCTGGCTTCTCAGCATCCTGATGTCCAAACATTTGAAGTTATCTTTAGGGTAACTGAAGGCCTCCAATGATCTGGCTTCTGCTTTCTCTTTCCGTTTCAGTCCATCCCTGAGGGAAATCTTGTTATATTCTGCCATAGAGCATGTCTTTGGATTTCCTGAATTTAATATCGCTTAGCTTTGCAAATGTTTTCTTTTCCGTGTGGATCGCTTGGTTGTCTGACAGTGAGGTCTCACACAGCCTTAGATGACATTTCTTGTAGAGAACTTATTCTTGCTTCTGATAGCTGAGCTTGATAACCTTCCTGTTTCCATTGTTTGGACCTTAACTTTGATTTTTTATGAAATCAATCATAAGGGCTGGCGAGATAGCTCAGGGGACTAAGTGCCTGCTTAAGCAAGTGCAGGGACCAGGGTTTGATCCCGCACCACATGCCACACCAGCCCCACCCCCGGGCACGCTCAGCCAGCAACTGAGTCTGGGTATGGTAGCGCACACCTGTAATCCCAGTGCTGGGCAGGCTGAAAGCAGGAGGATCACGAGTCCAAGCTGCGTAGCAAGACCTTGTAACAAATACAAAATAAATAAATAAACCATGAGATGGTACATATTCTGTGTCAATAGAGTTGAAGATGGTAAGGAAGAGGAAAAAATCAAAGGTGACTCTTATCTTAATTTCTGGGCTGAATATTTGGTTATTACCATAAGATAAAAAGGGAGGTATATGTTTTCTGGAATAAGATTATGCATGAGATTGTAAATGTTGAATTTTATAGCTGGTGCAATATCAAAATAGAAATGAGAAGAATGAGTACATGAGTTTTTTGCTGGCTTTTTTTTTTTTTTTTTTTTTTCCTTTCAGTAAAGTGTCATGTTGTGCCTGTATCCTTTCTGGCTACACTGAGTTCCTTGGCTCCGAGGCCTGTAGCTGATTCACTCTTGCTTCTCCTGGTCTCACTGTAGAGGCTCAATGCATGCTAGTGCAATTGACTGGGAGACGATAATAATGCCTCTATAGTATTTTAAAATTTTATTATAAATGTTTTCTCTGGACACCAGAGGAATGATAGTTGACTAAAGAAAATTTTAGCTTGGGGAAAATGTGGTTTTCTCTTATCCCCTTTTTAATAAACATTTATTAATATATTTTCATTTTAATGAAGTCATATTTTATTTTTTTGAACTCAGCTGTCTTCCTAAACCTTCCTTTTAAAAACGTAATTGTTTGCTTTTTTTATTCCGAATGTTTTTGTATTTTTAATTATGAGGCAAATATATCTCCTTTTTTCTGTGTAGGACTATAATGATGAGATCAGGCAAGCACAGCTCCAGGAATTAACATACTTGAATGGCGGATCAGAAAATGCAGATGTTCCAGTAGTTCGAGGGAAGCCCACCTTGCGTACAAGGGGTGTGCCAACCCCAGCAATAACCAGGTAGGTGCTGCTCATTTTTTTTATAGGTTAATGCACTATAGCAAGAGCTTTCGTGATTCTCATATTTGTAGCTAAAAACAGCGGCATTGAGACATCTAAGGCCTGCGTTCTGCACTGTGGGGTCACTCTGAAGACATTTCTTTTGGAGGCAGATAGTCCTAGGCTTAAATATCACTTGTACCAATTATTAACTGGTGGCTTGAGACCAACTCTTCTTCCAGCTTTACTATCTGAATGCTTTAACATGGACCAAATAATACTAAGCCAGGCCTTACCATGCTGTCCCAACCCCAGGGACCTGGAGAGGTTATCTGAATTAGGACAGCCTAATGGCGCCTGACTTGATACCATTTGGCCTACTACATTTGTTATGTTAGTTTTATCCTCACATGACAGGAGCTCATATGTTTTCCCAATCTGTACCACACACACGATAGTATATTCTAAAATACTTTTGAAATTTCCCGAACATGTCTTACCCCTACATTGCCATCTTAGGTTGGGACACGCATAGAGAACACAGGGCGCGTTCCTAGGCAAGGTGCTCCTACTAACGCCGCCCGCCCGTGATGAATCTCCTGTGTCCACTTCCTTGTGATAAGAACTCAGACTTGTGTCTTCAGCTCTTGTCCCCAAAGGGTACAGCAAGTGCATGCGGGTGGGTAAGCACAGGTTCCGGAGCTGACACTTTGCTACCCTCATTCTTTCCCTTGCAGTGATGTGAACTGACAGACAGGGACGTAAGTAGGTAGGCGCAGCCTAGTGCTGCGGTGGCTACGGCAGCGTTGTGCTGCCACAGATCTCCTAAGGACTAAGTCCTCAGAATGTGTCCCTGTCACTAAGAGATTCAGGACAGTATAAAGACAGTCATGTGTTTAGTCAGGTAGGTAGATACACCCGTGTACCGTATATATAAACACTTTAGTGATATGTATAACCTTACTCCTAAATGTTTCATATACAAAATTATATATGTTGTGATTCTTATTTTATACGCATATACCTATAATATAAATGAACCAAATGTTACTGTTTCGCTTAAGACTAGATTCAGTCCCTCTTGTCTGTTTCTGCAAATGCACAGAATGAACCTCCCTCGGGTAGGGGGTAAGGTCCAGCACACCCAAGGCCCTGGCTCAGGGGACAGTGTGTGCCCCACATCTCAGCTGCTGGTTTTACTAATGATAATTTCTAATTTAGTTGTTAGTTTTTTACCTAATGTTAAGATCTGAAGAGGAACATTATCGTGGAACATCCAGAGACACTCCTCTGTCTGCCCACACTAATTTGTTCCTCTTGATTACAGCATTTGCGTAGCTCACCACTTACACTTGTCTCGTTGTCTCAGTGCTCAATATTCTTTGATAAGATTATTTTCTAAGTTCTCATTTCAGACTCTGGATTTCACAGAGTAATAGTCACAGAGTGATAGCTAGTCTGGCGCCGAGGTTAAAGGTGCCCCGCAGTCACCGTGTGTTTACTTGGAATCACAGGCAGTTCTTGCGCTAGGAGCCCCTGGGTGTGCTGGGCACACGCCGCTCCCCGTGCCCTCCCGTCCTCCTCCTCTCCACGCCCCACCTTCCCCTTCTCACTCCTTCCCCATCGCACTCTGTAGCCCAGGCTTAGCCTCACAGCCCTGCCTCAGCCTCCTGAGTCCTGGGATTACAGGCGCGCCCTGCTGTGCACTGCTGAGTGCGGTCTCCTTCCTTCCTCTATTTGCTTGTGGCTTCCTTGGTCCCAAATACCATAATTTCTTGTTTCTACAGTATAAAGTTCATATTCCTAAAAAAAGCATTCAAAACCCTTCTGTATTTTTCCTAATTCAAATTTTTTACTTTTGCTCCAGTTTGATCTTTGTTCAGATGCCTGTGTTTCCTGTGTATCTGGCCAACCCCAAGCAGGAACTTTGCAGTATAAAGTTTGTACTTGCACCCTTCTGGGCCTTTGTTCATGTAGTTTCTTCGATCTGTAGCTGGTTCTTCTTTTGCTCTCTGCTCCTCTCACCTGTTTAAATTCTATTTTACAACATAACCTGAAGGTTATTTTAGCAGAGACAAAGCACTTACTGTTGGCACAGCGCACTTTAAAGCACTTGAAAGATGTTAACTAGGTTACTTCCTAGCAGTCCTTTAAGGCAAGCACTGCTTCGTTATTACCTGTTACAGATGAGGGAAGCATGATCAGAGAGGTAAACTGCCTGTCTGAGATCACACAGCCAGGAGGAATCCAGGCAGTCTGGTTCCAAAATCCAAAATATTTCCTCTATTTGATCCTTGCCTTGTGTTTCTCATCTTTTTTTGGTACTGGGAATTGAACTCAGGACCTCGCGCTTGCCCAGCAGGCACTGTGCTGATGAGCCGTATCCCTGACAGGTGTTTTTTCATCTTGAAGAATTTTTTTCTTCCCTCTTTTCCCCTTCCATAGAACTTTTTATTCCAAAACTTTCATTATATTTTTATAATGGTACATGGTGACATTTTTGTACAAGCTGTGATGAAAAGACATTTATTTACTGCTTTTGCTCATATAAAATCACATGTGGCACCTTGTAAGAACAATGTAGTCTATCCAGATAAGGTAATAAAAATAAATTGATGTAGAAATTAGAATACAAAATTATAAAAATCCCAAGGGAATTTTTTTTACTAATAACTAGTAAACAAAAAAAGTACTGGTTACAAAATTCTGTAGAGTTAGTGGAGTTGTCTTCATGTTATACTTACGTTATGCTTAGAGTTTCCTAAGGGTCATGCTGAAAAAAATGAGTGCAAAATTTAGCATCTATTACTGTCTGAAACCAGTAATAATACAAAGAAAAAGATAAGAAGAGGAGAAGAAGGAGGGGTAAGAGGAACGAGTACACTCACTCAGTGATGCCTAGAACTTCTTAGTACCAAAGCATTGAAAATGTTCCAGTGGACAGTCATATGTTGGTCATATGTAATGTAATAAGATTTTCAGTGGCATTCCCTTTAGCCACTGACTCAATAAGTCATTTTGATTTTGCCTCAAAAATATGCCTCAGTTCCTCTGGGAAAATTTCCAGTAGGGGAATAGCTGGCTTGAATGGGATTTCCAGTCCTAGTTTCTTAAGGAGTCTCCACACTGATTTTCCATAATGGTTGCACCAGTCTACATTCCCAACAGCAGTGGAGAAGAGTTCCTTTTTACCCACAGCCTCTCCAAGATTTGTCGTTGGGTGATTTCTTTATGATAGCCATTCTTTCTGGGGTGAAATGGTATTCTCATTGCTGTTTTAATTTGCATTTCACGAATGGCTAGTTTCGTAGAACATTTTTTTTCATATATTTATTCACTTCTTTAATTTCAACCTCTGAGAAGTGTATGTTTATCTTGGATGCCCATTTCTAGATTGGGTCTTTAAATTTTGGGGTGCTAATGTTTTTTAGTTCTTTTTAAATTCTAGAGAGCAGACTTTTGCCTGAGTGCTTATTAGTTAAGATATTTTTGAAATTTGTGGGTTGTCTTTTCACTTTGTTGGTAATTTCTTTTGACATGCAAAACTTCTCAATAAGAGGTGGTCCCAGTTGTTAATTCTTTCAAGTATTATTAGTGTAATTTGATTTTTATTCATGAACTCTTTGCCTACCCCTATGTCTTCAAGAGTTCCTCCTACTTTCTCTTCCAGGAGATTGAGTGTTTCTGTTTTAATGTTTAGATCTTTAATCCATTTTGACTTTAGCTTAGTGCATGGTGATAGACCTGGGTCAAGTTTTAGTTTTCGGCATATAGAGAGCCAGTTTTTCTAGCACAGTTTGTTAAAGCATCTATCTTTCTTCCAGTAAGTGTGTTTGACCCCTTTGTCAAAGACAAGGTGGCTGAGTGTGTTTGTAGAGGCTTCTGCATCTTCTAATCTATTCATTGATCCTCAAGTCTATTTTGTTGCCAATACCATGCTGATTTTATCACAGTAGCTTTTTGGTATAATTTCAAGAGGCACATGGAGACAAAACATTCTCTCAGGTTTTCATAGAGAGCAAATTGGTCAGACAATGGCTGTGACTCATCCACATGGCTGACACTGACAAAGGATCTCCAAACTGCAGTACAGGGTTTCAGGGTAAATCCTGAGGGGATTTGACTGACCCTGGCAGATACAAAAGTTAAATTTCTTGTTATATAGGCCTTGCTTTATCTTGGTCTTAACCATCCATCAGAAAAGTATAAAAACAAAATATAAAAAGTAAAGCCATATTAATATGCTGAGCTGTAAAAGGCTCAAGTCAACAACTTTTGACATTGCCAGTCCTACAGATAACCCATTACTATTCTGGACTATATTGGATTATTTTGCTGAATTCATGCACCTACAATATTTAAATGGCAAGGGAATATCCATCTCTGATGAAACTAAACAAAAAAAGGTGATACAAATGAAAGACATTTTGTGTCTGTATATACAAAATGGTTAAGATAGATATACATTTATTTTCTCTTAATTCAATGAGAAGAAAGATTTGTATTAATAATGTTTGGACAGGATGCCATGTCTGCATCTTGTACTATGAATAACCACTAAGCACTGTCCTCCCCTTGCTGCCTGCACCTCCTTCCACTTTCCATCTCTCCTTGCTCCTCACTGCATTCGCAGTCCACACAGACTACTGGCTAAAGAAGCCTTTGCTGATCATCACCTGATGTAGCTGTCCTCAAATCCAGAAGCCGCTCTCAATATGCAATGTATTAATTATTGAAACTGTCCTACTAATCGGTTTTGAAACTGTCCCATTGCTGTTTCTCAATAAAATAAAAAATACTCAACTGTATTTCCTTAATTACTCCTGCCTTTGTGTGTGTGTGTGTGTGTGTGTGTGTGTGTGTGTGTGTATGATTTTGAAATAGGGTTAATTTACATCACCACAGAAAGTTCATGTTGACCTTGAGCTCACTTTGTAGACCAGGTTGGTCTTGAACTCATAACTATCCTCTTGCCTCAGCCTCCCAAGTTCTGGGACTACAGGCTTCTGCCACTGTGCTCTGCTACTTCTGCCATTCTTTATCATGTTATCTACTGTGTTCTAATTTTCATGCATAAGTACAATGAGCATTTAAAATTAAATTTTATTTTCTCGCTTTAGATCCTTTTGTAGTTTCTCTTGATGCTGTAAGCAAGCCCAAGTTTGATGGTTTGCATGGGAGACCAGCACTTCCTCCCCTTGCTGCCTGCACCTCCTTCCACTTTCCATCTCTCCTTGCTCCTCACTGCATTCTCAGTCCACACAGACTACTGGCTAAAGAAGCCTTTGCTGATCATCCCCCGACGTAGCTGTCCTCAAATCCAGAAGCCGCTCTCAACATCTGGTCCTGGGTTGCTTACTAGCATTTACCAAACTAAACTTACTTTGTTTACTTTTTCATTAGTGTGTCTTGATGTCTTGTGAGTCGTAAAGGCCCTGTCTACATGGTCTGTAGCATATGGGGCATCGCTTGGTGGGTAATATAACACAACAGCACATTCTATAGATGCCTGCTGGTCAAATGTTGACAGTTTGGAATATTCTTTCATAGGTGGCAGTTCTTGCTGTTTATGTGACTGAATTTGCACAGAGTTGGCTTTGTGAGAATATTCACATGAATATCGCTGCTTCGGATTTTCATGGTGTTCCTCTCTCACTCCTCTGCTAGTCAAGAGACCCCATGGGGAATTAGGGGAGAAACACAAATAGCTAGTGGCATCTGCTGTAGTCAGTGTGCCTTTTATTTGATGTTTTTCTCACCGTATCTTCTCACCATATTTGAGTCTTCCTGTGGTGATCTGCATTCAATGCTTTGGACACCCAAGAGTGTTTCCTCCCATCTGTCTCCTCAAGAGTTGAATGTGTGTTCTGTCTAGTGTAACTGTGGACACTGTCTTAGCCCATGTGTTTGCCAGTCATGTCTTTTCAAGTCTCTGTCACCCTCAGCTTCCTTGTCCACAGATAAGCAAGGATAGACCCGCTTCACAGTGTTGAAGTGCTACTGGGTTTGATCCTATCAGGACAGCATGCAAGTCTTCAGGACGTGTAGTTTTCCCAGATGTCGTAGCTTCCTACCCTGTCTGTGAGCCAGAGATTGAGTCTCAGCTTTCTTGGTGTTATAGTATTGTGCTTTGGTAGATCTGTTTCTTACTTGCTTTGATTCTAACTTCATATTTAGTTCCCTCACTTCCTTTTTATAAAAAAACTATGGAACCTTAATTTGCATGAACTATAGATTTCTGTGAAAAATAGGACTGCAGAAACTATGATAAATATTGATGGTGTGAACTTTGTATTCACAGGGGAAGAGGAACAGTTACAGCCCGGCCAGTTGGAGTTGGGGTTCCACGAGGCACACCAACAACCAGAGGAGTCCTTTCAACCCGAGGGGCAGTGAGTCGGGGAAGAGGCCTTCTCACTCCAAGAGCAAGAGGTGTCCCCCCTACTGGGTACAGACCTCCACCACCACCCCCAACACAGGAGACATATGGAGAATATGTAAGTGAAGATGCCATGTGACAGTTGTGGTGGTCAGAATGTCCCAGTTCAGATATAGCACTGGATGTCACAGCTGAGCACTCAATGAGCCTCACTTAAGTCCTCGAATATTCTGCCTTTATTTTACAATATTAATTGAATGCTAAATAGTACCAAAAATAGCAGGACCACTTTCAACAAGGTACTAAAAATGACAGGACCATATAAAAATGGTTCTTCTATCAAATCGCTGAAATATGTGGTACAGAGGAATTTGATGGGGAAGTGCAAGACCGGGCAGGGAGACAAGCTGTTGGCTCTTGCAGAAGCTCAGTGTGACATTCTTTCATACTCCCTTCTGAGTAATCCCGTTGTTGAGAAATGCTTATCACATATATGAAGGTGGTCTCATTCTTTAGTGTTTCCTTTTAAGCTGTGCCCCTAAGTATAAATTTTACCAACAACTATTTTCTGTCCCAAACCAGAGAATCAGTCAACGAAGGTCACCTGGGAGAGGAGCGGGGAGTTGAGGAGGGGACAAAGGATAGGAGATGTGAGAAATGAAGACAAGACAGGATTCTGATCAAGTCTTGTTTATTCAAAGGAAACTCTGGGTATATATAGTGGAGGCATAGGGAAATGACGTCGGTGTGTAAAAGGCTTGAGTAACTAGGCAACCGGGCTATGACAAGAAGTCCCACCTCTGGGGCATAGCAGGAGACTTATGGGAAATAGGCGGGGTGAGAAGAATTAGGAGCTTAGCTCAGCAGAGGTAGGGGAAGAGGAACCCAGAAACCCCCTTGCAATAGGACTGGAGGCCTGGAGTTATTGAGCCTCCCACAGGTCCCCCTTTACTTTTATATATGTATGTAAAATATGGCTTCTATAGACGGCTGATTCCCTTGAGGGGCCAGTGCCTGTCTTAGGTCAAGGTGTCCTCTACACAGACCCGACTCAAACCTTACCCGTCATAGGAGACCAGGACGGCAGAAGGTCCTGTTACTGTCTTAGGCAGCGAGTGGTGTCTTGTGCATGCCCCTCATTACCCGTCCTCTGGCTAGCCTGACCATCTCACCAAGGGTGGGAGAACTAAGAGGTCTCCGGACCTTCATCATCATAAGCTGGTTGTAGTCCAGCACAGTTTTCCCTTTCAGCCATGTCAAGGCTGTGATAATGAACCTGAATAGGCTTCATCAAGGTCACATCCAATTGTTGTTTAACGAAAGTCATCAGCCTATTGAAAATACAGGGTCCTATTGATAAAAGTATTAATAGTCCAATCAAGGGTCCCAATAGAGGGAGAAGGTAGGGTATTACTCCATTCCATGTGCTCCAGAAAGGGTTTTTAAATAGCTCTCTTCTCCTCTTAATAAGATCTTCTTGAAGTCTCTTTATTTTATCTCGAACAATAC